AAATTCAAGAGAAAATATGCCAGTTATGAGACAAAATGGGTAAAATCATTTGTATTATGCTAATTTTCTTAAGTATAAATATGTTTTTTGTTTTTTTGTTTTTCAATAATAAGCATGTCACAGGCACTTTAAAATACATTGGTTCATGAGATATTTTGCTAACAGGCACAAACACTAGCAGAAWCGTGAGCTTGTTTTATTTGTTTTACAATGTTTGAGTTTCCATAAACAGATGGGTGTTTGTATGAAGGTGTTTTGCATTCTCTGCTGCTTTGCACGTCAGCTGAAGCTTTTAAACAATGTTACTTTTTGTTTGTCTGGTTCGTTTCCATTCTGTGGGCTCGATGCAAAACGGAAAATAAATACATCTTTCGTCACGTCTCTGAGACACGGTTTGATCACTGCAGCTTGTCTGAGTGACTGCTATGAAGGTTATTAAACGTGTTAATGGATTAAATCTTGCTGTCATAATAAAGATAAAGYTAAAAGATTTATTTAGTAACCAAACCAAGGTGGACTTCCCCCTTCTTACAGAAACGCTTAATTTAAGACTTCAGGCTGTACAGAATTTGTCTTATTACACCTAATTGTTTGGCGCCCTCAAGTTCCACTTGTCAAAGAAGTCTTTATGTGACATAAATCACACGAGAAAGTCTGACTTTAATCTGATGGATGATCACAGAGCGATGAGAAAAGGAGGGCAGATGGAGTGAAAGAGAGCCGAGAGAACAAGCGTGGTAAATAAAACCATAATTGCTTCTGTCTGGAGGCCCTTTTCTTTTTCAGCTTTCTTTTCCTTCTTTCGACTGTAGTCCGTCCAACATTCAGGCAGCTGTTAAAAAGCAATCAAGCCAAAGAAGGGAGAAAAGTGAAAAGACTTATTGTTGCAGGAGTTTATCACAGTTTGGAGCAGCTTTAAGATGTCAAGAAAGTCCAAACAAAACAGTCTGACGTTGATCCTTTCATCTCTTGTTCAGGTACTTCACTGAAAGCAGTGGAAAATTCACAGTACAGTCAAACAGGGAGTTAAACAACTGGGGATTTTCGCTTGTGTTTGGGTGTCTGTTAACAAAATATCTCATGAAACACTGAATTAATATTAAAGAAACCTGCAGGAAGTGATGACTAGGAGCACAACTACAACTGGTTACCTTTTGGAGCCGATCCAAATCAAAATGGCTGCCACAGCTAATCAAATTTAGCAAACACAAAAATGGCTAAAACCTCTGGAAATTCTAGAGTATCAAGATGAAATTGTGTGTGGTTATAGCTGAGAGTCATACCCAACACATACTTTGCAAACATTGAAAAAAAAACTTTGTCTGAAACTTTAGCATTAACTAYTGGAGTTAGCCCACATAACAGAATGGGTCTGGCCCACAAAATGCRCTAACACTCAGCCCAGGTGACGGAAAAAACAATGACCCTTAGGTGGCCCAGATGTGGTTTGCCAGAAGAAATCCATTCTTTGGCCAGCACCACATAAACCAAACCACAGCCGGGGCAGTTATGGCATGTCATCTTAAAAACAGTGTCATCATTGCCAGACCTGGCCCTCATCTGASTGACAAACCACTCGCCATGCCAGCAGTCAGCCAGCAGTACCAGCTTGGCACCAGATCTGGCCCACACCTGTCTGCTATTTGGGAGGATTCCTACTTAGTGTCCCAAATCTAATGCCACAACTGGCCTGATTGTGGTTTGGTTAATGTGGTGCTGGCCMATGCATGGACCACCTMTGGAAAACCACGTGAGCCACCGAAGAGTCTTCATTCTTTACTGTGTCTGAGCCGAGTGTTAGAATGTTAGTGTCTTGTGTGGGCCGGAGCTGTGTACCAGACAAAWATTGCTGTTTGCTGTTTGTCTGCTAGCAAAACATTTTACAAAACCAATGGAGTGATTTTACTGAAAGTTTCTTTTATCTTGTTTTTAGATTGTTTTTAACTGTTAATTTTCTTTTAAAGTTTTTTTTCTTCTTGTTTTTAAAGTGTTTTTATCTGTCCGTCCGTTTTCTTCCTCTTATCTGGGGTCGGGCCGCGGGGGCAGCACCCACTTGGGCCAGCTCATCCGAGGGAATCCCAAGGTGTTCCCAGGCCAGCTGAGAAACATAGTCCCTCCAGCGTGTCCTGGGTCTTCCTCTGGGTCTCCTCCCAGTGGGACATGTCCAGAACACCTCACCAGGGAGGCGTCCAGGAGGCATCCTWACCAGATGAACTACCTCAACTGGCTCCTCTCGACGTGGAGGAGCAGYGTCTCTACTCTGAGTCCCTCCCGGAAAACTGAGCTTCTCACCCTATCTCTAAGGGAGAGYCCAGACACCCTGCAGAGGAAACTCTTTTCRGCTGCTTGTATCTGTGATCTCGTTCTTTCGGTCACTACCAAAAGCTCATGACCATAGATGAGGGTAGGAACGTAGACTGACTGGTAAACYGAGAGCTTCTCGTTCTGGCTCAGCTCTCWCTTCACCACGACAGACCRGTACAGCGCCCACATCACTGCAGACGCAGCACCAATCCACCTGTCAATCTCCCGCTCCATTCTTCCCTCATTCGTGAACAAGACCCCGAGATACTTAAACMCCTCYGCTTGGGGCAG